TCCCTAGAGAGGAAAAATCACAAGAGGATAAACAAGGTATCAAAGATATGGATGGACAACAACCAAATACCATCTACATTGATAGAGAAACTTTTTGGGAAAAGCAAGTGAAAATGCAAAAGGCATGTAAGAATCAGAGAACCATCAGTAAAACCAATGCTAAGCAATATCAGAAAGAGTAACATAAAATGAGAACATAGAACATATAATAAACCTACACTTCCTACCAAAAACTTCAAGGAAGCATAATCCATAGTGTTCATCGAAATAGTATATGAAAAACTTGATTCAATGGCTGTTTTCCACCTAGGCAGGTGAACTGTGAAAAAAAAAATACTATCATTCACTTTCTAGCTGCCTTGTCAGTAGTGAAGCAGCCATAACACTACACCCTTACTAAACCAAACCTGCTAGTACTGGTTAAACAAAAAAAGTTTTCTTACAGGGGTCTATGAAAGGACAGAAATAATAATATAGTATAAACAAAATTCAGATTGTATGCACTATACAGTATTACCTAAGTGTCAAGGCTGCCTAGCCTACAGGAAATAATTTCCAAATGGTGTTAAATGATTTTTTTATATACCATACTTCATCAAATACATTTGTGAATTTAAGTTTACAACACCCACTGGTTTGATATTTGTCATGTGTCATACAAGGCTGCCACAGCATGAGTGGTGATGTCTTCATGCACCTGAGTGAACAAAGGAGTGCAAAGGAGTAAAGCTCATATGCCAGGTAGGATACAAGTTGGCACAAACTTGCATACTGGTCATTGTTTTAATTCTGAATTCAAGACATTTCTGGTAGATCACACAAAGTGCGCTTTTGTCTGTTATAATACAGTATAATAGAATACAAAGAAAAAATTGTATGAATGGATTTTTAGATGAGTTAAAAGCACTGCACCAAGGAGTTAAACATTTCTTTGTTTAAAAAATGTTCCGATGAAATTAATATTCACTAAGTGGTAGGCATGAAGAGTTAAAACAAGAAATAACTGCAACACTTGACAGTGATGTGGTTACCAACAATTCCCCACTGTGAGTCTGATACACTTACCAGCATATACAATTTATTCATACTGTTTTGGCTTTCTTAACCAAAACTCATATAGTATATACAGCATCACTGTGAGCACTATCTGGAATGCTACTAATATACAAAAATATTCTTGCAAGTTGCCAGTGACTGTACCAGCAGTCCTTCAACACTGATCTGATACATATGCAAATACACTATTTCATTTACATTTTATTAGATTTCTTTATAAGTATACTGTGTATCAGCATTCTGTTTCTATAAACTGTGTCCTAACTCTGTCACTCTTGTTTAAACATGCAGTGTGGTTAGTACCAGAATGATACTAAACACACTGCATGTTTAATCAAAAACAAAGATTATCACTGGGCAAAAAATTCTGCCCATAAAGCTAAGACATTTTTTTGACATAAATTATGTCACATGGGGCTTAACTGAGGCCCACTCTTATTCATTCATAAATATACATTGTACCCAATAGCCTATAATTACATACAGTATGTATGACTATGTATGTAAGTGTATGAAGGTGCATGTAAGTGTATAAAGGTGTATCTAAGTGTATGAACGTGTATGTATGTATGTGCATGTAGACATTTATATGTGTATATATGTATGTATAAATATGTATGTATGGTTTTCTTTTCAACAAAATGACCATCTCCCACCTAGGTAGGGTGACCTAAAAAAGAAGACACACTTTCATCATTACTCACACCATCACTGTCTTGCCAGAAGAGTGCTAATACCACAGTTCAAACTGCACATATCTCCACCCTTCCTTCAGAGTGAAGGCACTCTACTTCTCACCTCCAGAAATCAAGTCTGACTAACAGGTTTTCCTAAATAACTTCACAAATCTTAACTTGCTCACACTCTAGCAGTTTGTCAAGTCCCAAAAACCATTTGCCTTCACTTACTCCACATCTAACATGCTCACACATGCCTGCTGATTATGCGTGCACAAATACATGCATGCACAAGCATGCGCACACACACACACACACACACACACAAAGAATGCTAAATTAAGGAAAGATGTGCAAAAGTAACAAAATACCAATTTGCAATGAAACCCACCTCAAAGAAAATAATGACAATTAAATCCTCTCACACCTTAAGTGGTGTCTGAGGCACTGATGCAACTAAGGTCTGCAGATTATCTATTGGTAAGGTATAGGAGGGAAGAGAGATGTAAGACACAAACAGCATACCACTTGTCTAAATTAACCAGGACACAAGTAGAGGGGTAACACTATCTGGACACAGTCTCATTTATGGAATATCAGTATGCACAAGCAGCACACTTTCAGTGTATAAGGAATCATAATATATATCAACACATTATAAGAGATCATAACCAGAGACAAGATGATAAGTGTCTGATGATACTGTGTTCTAAAGATACACACATAAAACTGGGAGATCAAAAACACCTCTCCCTGCTTCTCTGATATTAAATGATAGAAAAGAAGAAAAGACAATCGTAATGAGATGGGAGTAATCAATCCACACCAGCAAAATCAAGAAGCATTAATAGAATCATGTGTGGGGAGATGAAACACAAACCAATAAAGCAAACGAGATGAGAATGGTGATAAGGCAAGTTGGAAGAAGAAGCAAGCAGGAAGACAGAAGTTGCAACTTTCACTAGGTATCTCATTTTCAGTATTTAACCTATTTTTTATTGTAATTTCCACTGGATATAGCACTTACTACCCCTCCTGTAGCATACTTAAGTTCTTCTACTACTGCCATGAATAACTAACAAGTAGTCTTTCAGCACCCATCTTCTGTAGTTTCTATCAAGCCTTCCTTCATCTCCCTTATATTATTAGAAACTCCCTTATATTATTAAAAATATATACTATCTCATCATATTTGTATTGTAACTTAAGTAACTAGTACTACTCACTCTGCTAAACTTAACAATTATATCTTGTTCTTATGATTTATTAGATGACTTAAATAAGAAAATTTTAGGTATAGTATAGGCTAAGTTATGCCAGAGATACTATGCATTCTTCAGGTCTTCAGTTTATTGTATTTCTTATGCAGTAAAACTTACATTTAGATAAGTATCTGCACTTGTATTTGACCAACTTTAATAATCTCCATAAAAGTTATTCTTACTTAAACTTTCATCAAATTGTTAATGCAAAAAATTCCACTAGTAGTTATATGTTATAAGTTAATTTAAGTTTGCCTGAAATGCTTTGCATAACCAGGGGCTTTCTATAATGAATGTCAACATGATCACTTTTTTGAACTTACTGTATACCATTCTTTATATAAATAAAGTTTGTTTTATTTTAGTTATTTATTTATGAAGTTGGTCTCTCTTAGTCTAAAGAAAAACATGTCTGACTGATCAAGACATATTTTTGTTAGTCATGACATAAATGCAATCTAACCATAAAACAATTTTAATCATTATTATGCTCTTAACTTGGCTTAAGGCTATTAATAATACCATCAAATATTATCACTGTTACACCAATACTTAAAATAAAGAACAGTTCATAAAAATCAGAAAGAATCAATATAGAAGAATGCACTATATGCTGCTACCAAAGTGAGCCAAATGTATAGCATAAATGACTAGGGCTTAATGTAGATACTCTTCAGAAGTGACTTTGTCAATGGTCCAAGTATGACCGAAACGTCGTCGTGAGCTTCTCTCTTTTATGTGCGGGTTATTTGTGTATTGTGTATATGTCAAGAGAAAAGTTAAAATACAACATAGAATTATAAGCAAGTGATGCCTTCTTAGAGTAACTCATACAACACAACATGTGATGATGCCAGATTTTAAGAATAGTGCTAAAATAGCCTTCATATGCAGTCTGGAACAATACAAAAGAAGTAAAACAAAATTACTCCTGTTGAGGTCTATAGCATTTAAAAAAAAAAATAGTGCATCACACATGAAAAAAGATGCTTTACAAATGTGGTAATTTTGGAGTACAGGTGCACATCCCTTTATCCAAAACCTTTGGGGCCTGTGTTGTTTTGAATTACAGACTTTTTCAAATTTCAGAATGATTTTCAACACCGCCACGGGTGTGACCCAGCACGGAGATGAATGACGCTCCACATTCCACAAAAAAACTTCAGGTTTCGGAACTTTTCAAATTTCAGAATTTCGGATAAAGGGATGTGGACCTATACAAATTTTCATTCAAATCCGAGTATAAAAGGAAAAAATAATGATGGAAGAAACTACAAGAAACTGGATTAATGAACTAACTAACAAGTTTAGTAAAAGTTAAGATTCTCAAAATTTAAATCTCCCCTCAAGGGAGGTTCCTTGACATTGGTGAGGGGCTCTTGATCTAGGGAATTGGATCTGTGCTCCAGCTCCCTGAATTGAGCCTGAATGCCTTCCATATTCCCTGCTACAGGTGCTGTATAATTTCTAAGGATTTAGCACTCCTCCATGATTATAATAATAATAATAATAATAATAATAATAATAATAATAATAATTAAAATTTAAAAAGAAAACTTTATATATGAATAGGATGCTGCACAGTTTGAAAGAGCTCAACCCTGGTATAATTTAATAATAAATTCAAAACACAATAGAACAGAGAAAACTTTGAACATCAGAATTTTATATTTTCAGGAAAATATTTGAATTTGAGATATCTCCTGATTTGAACTTTGGAAAACAGAAAATTTCCAAAAAAATTCTGCATTTAATGCTTTGCAAAACATTCTCTTGAGTGGAGAATTATAAATTATAGGTTTTGTGAATTAAAATTCATTATTGTTTTCATATTTCAAAAAAAAAATCTTAATTTAAGCAGTCATTCTAAATTGGAAAAAGTAATAAATAAATTTTGGGAGAATTCTGAGAGCTATAACAGTAGTAAAGTAACAAAAAAAAAAAAAAAAAAATTTCCCCTAAAAAGACAAAATGTACCAACTGCACTTCTTAAAATCTCACTTACCCAGGCCAGCCCTCAAAGGTGGACACAGTGAAGAGTGTCAACATAGCTTTTGCTACATTGTCAAAGTGGAAGGCATTTTTCTCCCAGACTCTCTTCTCCACCATTGGCTTAGTAATGTCTCCATCATGGTAGACGATAAACTGACCCCTACGGAAAAAAATGAATTGTTAAAAAAAAAATTTACAAGATGGAGATAATAAAGAATCTACTACAAGATAAAAGCTAGAGTCTTGTTGGTGAAAATAAAGTTATTTTATTTCTATTATCACACTGGCCAATTCCCACCAAGGCAGGGTGGCCCGAAAAAAGAAAAACTTTCACCATCATTCACTCCATCACTGTCTTGCCAGAAGGGTGCTTTATACTACAGTTTTTAAACTGCAACATTAACACCCCTCCTTCAGAGTGCAGGCACTGTACTTCCCATCTCCAGGACTCAAGTCCGGCCTGCCGGTTTCCCTGAATCCCTTCATAAATGTTACTTTGCTCACACTCCAACAGCACGTCAAGTATTAAAAACCATTTGTCTCCATTCACTCCTATCAAACACGCTCACGCATGCCTGCTGGAAGTCCAAGCCCCTCGCACACAAAACCTCCTTTACCCCCTCCTCAACCCTTCCTAGGCCGACCCCTACCCCGCCTTCCTTCCACTACAGACTGATACACTCTTGAAGTCATTCTGTTTCGCTCCATTCTCTCTACATGTCCGAACCACCTCAACAACCCTTCCTCAGCCCTCTGGACAACAGTTTTGGTAATCCCGCACCTCCCCCTAAAATTCCAAACTACGAATTCTCTGCATTATATTCACACCACACATTGCCCTCAGACATGACATCTCCACTGCCTCCAGCCTTCTCCTCGCTGCAACATTCATCACCCACGCTTCACACCCATATAAGAGCGTTGGTAAAACTATACTCTCATACATTCCCCTCTTTGCCTCCAAGGACAAAGTTCTTTGTCTCCACAGACTCCTAAGTGCACCACTCACTCTTTTTCCCTCATCAATATATAAAGACGTAATAATAATATACTGAGTAGTGACGGCACCAAAAGGCTTGGTAACCTAGAGGACGACAGAGTAGTAAAAGGATAATAGGGTCACTGGCAGCAGCTGCATACGATAAATATATGTTGTTTAGCAAGGGTAAGTAATATGAAGTCTAGCCAGTAACTAAATGGATGAATGCATTAATATATTCTCATTCTTAACTAGGGAGAACTTTAACAGGTTACAGGCACCCTCCAAGCCATCTTATTTTGCTCCACCCTCTCTAAATGTCCAAATGACCTTGACAACCCCTCCTCCTAATCTCCAAGCTACGAATTCTCTGCAAAATGTTTACACCATGCATTGCCTTCAGACATGACATCTCCACTGCCTTCAGCCTCCTCTTTGCTGAAATATACATAACCCATACTTCACATCCATCCACTGATGCCTCAATGTACCACCCTCCAATTTTTCATCATTAATTCTATGGTTCATCCACCAACTCATTCACCAACAAGTCCACTCCCAAGTATCTGAACACATTCACTTCCTCCATACTCCCTCCTTCCAATCTGATATCCAGTTTTCCATTACCTAGATCGTTTGTTACCCTTATCCCCTTGCTCTTTCCTAGACAGTTCCTTAAAGTGGGTTTGTGCCCAATGAGGGATGTGTACCTGACAGCAGGAAAAAGCCAGTGGTTTAACCCTTTCAGCGTCCAGAGGCCAAATTTCAAAGTGTGCACCAGGGTCCAAGAATTTTCAAAAAAAAATTTTGCTATTTTTTCTTATGAAATGGTAGAGAATCTTCTTCTGAAGGTAATAAAACAAAAAGTAGGAAATTTGATGGGAAATTGACGAAATTATGCTCTCGTGAATTTTGATGTGTCAGCGATATTCATGCATTGGCGATTTTACCGACTTTGACTCCCATTTTAGGCCAATTACATTATTCCAGTCGACCAAATTCTTAGCTATTTCACTAGTATTACTTCTATTCTATCAATTGAACACAAGAAATCGCCAATTTGACTGTTTCAACTACAAAATAAAGTGATCGGAAATTGGTAATTTGGCCAATTTAACACTAGTTCAAAATATTCCAATTTCAAAATAGGGTCCAGAATAAACAATGCAGGCATTCCTGTTCATTAGTTATGTTTTCAGGCTTTACAAATGAATTCCATTTTGATTTTTTATTCACATAATGAATTTTTATTCACACCAAAAATAGAAGATTTACTGTTAGGCAATATTGTAATAATTGTATAAATAATATCACCACATTTGTGAACGTATATCAGACCCACCAGCTGGCATGTATTAGACGTATGAGGTCATTTGTTTACTCTTGAACATCGGCAAAAATTTAACATTTCTTCTACTTTGAGCTCAGTTTCAAGCCATTTCCAGTACTAAACTATTTCTGTAATATATCTTCCATTCTATCAAATGAGATCAAGAAATTGCAAATGCAATTACGTATAAAAAAACATGCGAAAAACACTGTAAAGTCGCTATTTTAATAGAAAATTACGGTGTCAGTTTTTTCTTCTCATTATGCAGTGTGTGCTGCAGGATTTGTTTTATGTGGTGCACACATATCACATAGACGTATTCTCTCATATCTAGGCCCAAATTTACCGCTCACAGCGTATCAGAGTGTGAAACACGAGTAGAGGCTACAGTTTGCAATCCCCACAATGATTACTACAAAACATAAGAGTTAGCCTGTCCTTCATAGGCTTGTGTCCTGCACTGCTTTTTTCCTCCTGTGTAATGTAGGTCCTGTTTGGCATTTTCTTCCAAAACAGGCCTGTTTCCTCACAATTAAACACTTGTTGGGGTTTTAATTTTTCAGTGTCTGTGTACTCCTTGAATTCCAGCACATATTTTTCAGCCGCTTTTTGGTCACAACTGGCAGCCTCACCATGCCTTATCATACTATGTATGCCACTACAACTCTTGAATCTCTTAAACCAACCTTTGCTGGCCTTAAATTCACTAACATCACTACTAGTTGCAGGCATATTTTTAATTAAATCATCATGCAACTGCCTTGCCTTTTCACATATTATTGACTGAGAAACACTATCTCCTGATAATTGTTTTTCGTTTATCCATACCAACAACAGTCTCTCCACATCTTCAAGTATTTGCGATCTCTGTTTATTTTATTTATTTATTTATTTTATGTCTTTGCAAACAGTACATTGAGATTTTGTAGTTACAATAGTGGGTTGCAATGCAAAGAGAGCCTCTATTATGCCTAGGCACTGAAAACATATTTGCACCTTTTGTAACAACAGCTTCCTTGATTGCCTTTCTGTTAGCCAAGACAGTAGCAATGGTTGATTGGGGTTTGTTATACAACCTGGCCAGCTCAGATGCACGCACTCCACTTTCATACTCTGTGATTATCTCTTTCTTCAATTCCATAGTAATTCTCACAATTTTTACCACAGGGTTGGCACTAGAAGCTTTCTTGGTGCCCATGGTGGCTTATTTAGCAGTTACAAGCACTAAAAACCCTGGAATACAAATTGTATTGCAGGTACACGTGGAACCGTCTGCAGTGGCTTGTAAACAATGGCACACTAGCTGAAGGAAGGGCACCTGAGGTGCACTCTGGCTGGACAGACAGGCAGACGCGTTTGGGAAAAATGTCTTTACCCAAGTTTTTCATCGTTAATTGAGCCAATATTTTTACGCAAAAAGCATTGTTGCCCAATTTTATTGTTAGTCGATGCCATCGTTGGTCGAGGGTCCACTGTATAATATATATATATACACAGTGGACCCCCGCTTTATGAACGCATCGCGTTACATTAAATCTGCCATACAAAGCATTTGAACGCAAAAATTTTGCCTCGCCTCATGATAAAAAACTCGCCTTACGTGATTCGACCGGGATGCGTCCCACGTGTGGCCTCAGCGCCAGTGTTTACAAGCCAGCCAGTGTTGTCGCATCTACACAACATTCGGTACATTTCACATTATTCCCCAGTGTTTTAAGTGCTTGTAACTGCAAAATAAGTCACCATGGACCCCAAGAAAGCTTCTAGTGCCATCCCTGTGGTAAAAAGGGCGAGAATTAGTATGGAAATGTGTGCAAAGTGGGTCAAACTGCAAACTTTTACAAATGAAAATCACCCTGACACAGCTACTGCAAGCCGTGTTGGCAACCTGTACAATGACAATGTTATGGCCCATTTTAGGAAAGTCTTAAAGGAATGGGAGATACAGAGCTCTATGGACAGATTTGTTGTGTGACAGAGGTCCAGTGACTCTCAAGCTGGTCCTAGTGGCATTAAAAGAAGAAGGGAAGTAACCCCGGAAAGGGACTTGCTACCTCATCTCCTAAAGGAAGGGGATTCCCCTTCTAAACAATAACTTCCAAACTCTCCCCTCCTCCCATCCCATCAATCATCACCAGATCTTCAATAAAGGTAAGTGTTATGTATTCTATTCTTAGTAGAGTAGTAATTGTGCATGTCTTCTTCAGTTTGTGTGTATTAAAATTAATATTTCATGTGGTAAAAAAATTTTTTTTTTCATACTTTGGGGTGTCACGAACGGATTAATTTGATTTCCATTACAGTGGACTCCCGACATTTGATGGCATCGACATTCGATGCATTTTAATGCAAAAATTTTGCCTCAACATTCGATGGAAAACCCGACATTTGACACGATTCGTACGAGACGTGTCCACGTGTGGCCTGAACTGCCCTGTGTATGCCAGTGTTTACAAGCCAGCCAGTGTTTACAAGCCAGCCAGTGTGAGCGCATTTAAGGATACATTCGGTACATTCCATATTATCCATATTATCACTGTTTTTGGTGCTTGTTTCTGCAAAATAAGTAACCATGGGCCCCAAGAAAGCTTCTGGTGCCAACCCTTCGAGAAAAAAGGTGCTAATGATAATTGAAATGAAGAAAGAGATAATTGCAAAGTACGAAAGTGGAGTGCGTGTGTCAGAATGCATGATGATTTGGAAAAGAAATTGCCTGCAACTAGTGGTGATGAGTGAATTTAAGGCCAGCAAAGGTTGGTTTGAAAGATTTAAGAATCGTAGTGGCATACACAGTGTGGTAAGGCATGGTGAGGCTGCCAGTTCAAGTCCTAATGGAAGGGGATTCCCCTTC